AAACAAAGCCCCCACGTCAATCTCTCTCTCTCCATCATAAATTTGATGTTGGGAAAACTCCAATATATAAGCAAATATACCAAAAGTTTTTTTATAAGAAAAAAAACCTTTTGTTATATTGCTTACACATTTTACTTAAATATACCAAATGGTAATGTACCTACATAGTAAAATGTTTCCCCCTCTCCAGCATATTTCTCTATCTTCCCCTCTTGTCTCTCTCTTTTCCTAATTAGCCTAAGATCTAAACCCGATGAAAAGCTAGCTTCCACATATTGCCAACCAAAAATAACAGCCCTTCCTGCTCATCTCCAGCACCTGTTATCTTGGATCCAATCTTTAGTTAAATGGAACAAATCCATAGTCCTATTTCAGCATCAGATGCATTACATTTGACTTTGGTTTTCTCTTGTTTGGAAATCTGAGGATATGTTAAAGCCTTGTAAAACCTATTTCAGCATTAGATGCATTGCATTTGACTTTGGTTTTCTCTTGTTTGGAAATCTGAGGATATGTTAAAACCATGTAAAACTCAATTCTTTACTGATTATTCCACATNCAATGCATATTATTTGATTTGTATGTGTTCTATTTCGGTTTGTGTTTTTTTCCGAAACTAGTATGTTAAATTTATCCGGATTTAATATTAGTGTTTTATAAAAAAATANGCCTTGTAAAACCTATTTCAGCATTAGATGCATTGCATTTGACTTTGGTTTTCTCTTGTTTGGAAATCTGAGGATATGTTAAAACCATGTAAAACTCAATTCTTTACTGATTATTCCACATATGAGAGTTGTAGGAAATCTTTGGCTTGTTTTCTTAATCTTACGAACTTCCAGATTGATTTGATAAAAGTTCAGTCGTTGTTGTGGAAGCTAACCAAACCCGTTGAGCCAGTCTCAAGCTCAGCAAAACTTGATCATCTCAAGCTCAAGTTCAGATGGACACAAGCCAACCTGAAGCTCAACTCTCGATGCACCAAGTTGAACTACACCTGGCTATTCTTTGGCTAAGCTTATAGCTCATTTCACTACTAAAACGACAGTAGACTTTAGAGCTATGGGGGGCTAGAACCAGGCACAGCCCCTGTGAATGTTCCAAGTGTATAATAACTATGCTTGCCGCAACATAAGAACATCTTCTAGCATGGCTTTCAGACATACTCTCTGCTGATTCGCTCTTTCATCTTCTCCTAGAGACTAGCTATAGAATGAAATTAGCCCAAGGCAATTTACCGAGTCCGGAACCAAAATGTGGTTCTTTTGGACAAATAGCACCTTAATAGGTGTAAAAAAAAAAAAGATGACATTTTTATATATAGCGCCCAAATACTGGGCGCTATACATTAACCTTAACTGTGCCGTTAATGTATAGCGCTCAGTATTTGGGCGCTATACATAGAAAGCTGACACTAACAGGTATAGCGCCCAAATACCCGGCGCTATACCCCTTTTTTAAAAAACGAGCCGTCTTCTTCAAGACGACCATTCTGCTTCTTCTTCCTCAATATTTTATATCTTCTTCTTCTTGGTCCCCCACTCCCATACCCGCTGCCCCACTATTAAAAAANTATTTTAGCTTAGAATTCCTTTTGTTTAAGTATCTTATACTGGTAGTTGAAAATGCAAACTTTGTACAATTAAGTTAATAATTGTATCAACACACATAATTACTAATCTTAATTTGGTGTCACTGGGCCTCATAGGGAGTAATATAAAACTTGATCCCATCACAAAGACCCAATTATGATTTATTTTACAACTCTAAACACTTTAAGATCTAGATGTGGCTACTTTACTCTAGAAGAGTACCGGCAGAAACTATGAGACATCACTATATCCACATAGACAACTAAAAGCAGTAACTGCTTTTTGTCAAGCTATTTCAGTTACTGCTTGTTTGTTAAGATAGTTTAGTTTCATGCTAACATGGTACCCACTCGAAATTTCATATTTCATCCATAACGTTTGATCTCATTAAGACGGTTGCATCTCTGCTTAATTCATTATATTACATTCTTGCTCTAGCATAATAAGGTCCAAATGAAGCATTAAGGTGGTTCATCAAGGCACATTAACATTCTTATACAAAATTATGCACATTTAGCTCTATACGTTGTTTCAAGTCTATAGCTTACTAGTATTTCTTTAGCTTTAAAAGTTTGACATTCTGTACCCATCTTCCTTTCTAACGCATAACAGTAGAGTCAACTCGACCTAATCTTAAGTACCTCTAATTATAAATCTCATCAGCATGATTTTCCCTAGTCAACTATAATGTCAATATCGAGAAATGTTTTCAACGAAATACATGAAGTTAAGTTTGTTCTAACTGACCAGAACATGCAACCATCATTAACAATAGGCGGTGGAAGGGAATGAAAAAGCTAAGAGGACAATTGGTACATTCATTTGGTAAAGAACTTATCTTGCCTTGTTGTCTGGTGTGATAAAAAAGGAAGCAAAACAAACTCTCCTTTACTTTCCAAGCAGTTTTGAATAGGTTAGGAAGCTGACTAGAATAACAAATCTTCATTTTGACTCCCCTTTCTCACTATACCTAATGCCCCATCTGAATCTTCTTCTTCCAACCCGCAAACAAAGAAATAGAGACTAACATGATTGTTAATTTGTGCTCAGAGAAAAAATGGTGCTTTAAATCAAAAGAAGAAAAATTGAATAATATAATGTTAAACTAGTCATACTTCACACTGGTGTTGGAAAAAGAAAGAAACTAGGACCAATCAAAAAAAAATAAACTAAGCTAATTCTAGTTAAAAACCTCATCAACTAGTGCTATTTGGCATAAATATCAAGTGGTACCAAATGATTTTTTTGATAAGGTAAAGTCACGTAGTACCAAAAGATAAAGCTAAACATTTGCAATTTTCAGTCTTTCTGGCACATGTAATTTTGAGAATAGCACAATATTATTTTGCAGGAAGCAGCATACGTGGTCAAATTTTGAGCACAATGTTTCCTTTGGTAACACTGAAGCCATTATAATCAGCTATAATATGATATTTTTCACTTTAAAAGTGGGGGAAAGGAGAAGGTTTGAAACTTGTAAAAAACTTGGGGCTTGGGTTTTACCGCCAATTTGCAAAAGGGGAGATCTTAGTAGGGAGGGGAAAAAGGAAAAGGAAAAAGCTGGAACAGGGGTCAAAGGTGCTCATGGCAGGGGGGAAAAAGGAGGGCATGCCATCGAAGGCTAGTTCCTGAAAAAAGGAAGCATGACAAGAAGCAACCTTTATTTGGACGAGACCAAAAATGAGGCAACAGTAGCAAGTGGAGGGCAGAGTAAATGGGGCAATGACAAGGTTATCGAGGAAGGAGCCATCGTTCGGTTGGATGGAGGGGAGGGGATGGTACCACTAGCTACAGAAGAGCAAATGCAGCAAGGAATGGAAGCAGCAAGTACAAGATCTTAAGTAAGGAAAGGACGAAACTCCTTATAGTGAAACATAATATGTAAACTTAGGCATATTTCGCACCAAAACCATTTGGCCTGTAAACTTTCTTTTCTACTCTAAGTTGGCAGATTTTCTACATAATTCACGTCTTTTTTGAAATTGCAGGTTTGTAATGCATTCATGTACCTCTTGTCCATAGACTCCTCAAAGAATTTCCCACAAAAAATTATGCTCAAACTGCAGAAACCTAGCTAAGCATTAAATCTCATTTTCAGTTTAGGCCCCAGAAAGGTAAATCTCTGAACACCCTCTCCCCCAAACATTCTATTTGTAGACTGCTCTCAAAGTTTCCAGTACATCCCATTTCATCTTCCCGCAAGGAAAGGGAGGAAAAGCCAAAATCTCGTCAAGTGCTTAGTTCATTAAATGGAACTCATTTCCTTTGCAAATATTCCAATTTTTTTCTACCGTTATTGATGAAGGGGGTAAGCAGAGTGTCCAAAATATGCTTGGAGGACAAATGATAAAGCAAAACAAGGAGTCTCTTCAAAAGGCCTCAGTGGAAAAGATCTAAAGATTGAATCTTTACATCAAAAAGTTTAGTCTCTGCCCCCCACGTCTTATCCATATCACTTATTTTAATCAATACTTAAACATGGTTTTCAACCTTTAGTACTAAAAAGATATGTTGCTCGGATCCTCCAATAATGTCACCGGCCGTGTTTCGGATCCTCTAAAAGTAATGCATTTGGAGGATTCTACATGGGTGCAGTATCATATTTTGGACAAGACCAGCAACATAGCTCAAAAATATCACCAACACAATTTTCATACCATATCCTAGACCCTGTATGATTACTATATGTTACCTACTTTCATACCCAACCAAACGCTGTAAAATTATCTAGAAAATGATTTTCCATGAAAAAGTAACATTTGCCTCCATAGTGAAGCAAACCCACCCCTACATCTTCAAATAACCTGTCTCCTAAGATAGTGATGGACAAAAGACGAAGAAACAATGATATCGACGCTTTAGTGATGGACAATTGACGAAGAAACAATGATATCGACGGCTTCTAAGATAGCCTTTTGTCCATCACAAAAGGCTATCATTGTTTCTCCCCTCCTTTACCACAGACAAACTAAAGCACCACCAATTAAAGACAAATGAGAAAAATCGCCAATAATTAAAGAGAAGTTCTAAGTTCCTCCTATATGAGAACACCAGCTAAACCCAGTACATCACGTATTTTCATCAAACGTTCAAATAACAATCTATGTGCAACAATGAGGACTAAAATAACTCCAAATGTGCCTTAAAAGCCAAATTAGTACTGAGGCATACACGATTGATTGATTAACTGATTGATTATTCAACTAACAAGCCCAATTTCCAACAATGACTAATAAACAGATAAAGAGACCCTATAATCGAGATTCCTTACCTTCATTTCTGGTATCCACCACCAATAGCATCCATATCCTCTTCAATCTTAGCAGTCAAATAAGGCTGAGGAAAATCATTGACATCAAAAGTCTTCTTCTCCATCATCAGCTTCTCAACATCAGCTTTATTGAGGAAAGTACGCCTAATTGGAGGACGGTTACGTCTCTGGTCACGCGAATAGTACTTGATGTCGAACACGGTTTCAGGATTGGATGTGGGTACGATGGCCTTAGCTTGAGCTGTGGCCGGACAGAAGAGCCTGTAATCAGTTGCCTTGGGTACAGCGGATAGATATTCTGGACTTGTTTGTGGTCCAGTGAACTCCCACGGCTTCTTCATGAAGCACTTTAGGGTTTGGATCACCGATTTTCCTGACGAAGCCATTGACGAATTTGCTGTGGGGAGTCTTGAGATCTGTTTGGTTTCTTGGAAAAAGGTTGGATTTTTATATTTTTGTGGTTTCCGGAGAGAAAACTGTTTTGGGCTTAACCAAGGGTCCGAACTTCAAACTTTTTTCTGTAACTGCGGGTTCAGTCAGCTTTTTAGATAGAATTTAATTTACTTTATTAACCAGTAACGTCAATCTATATATTATTAGAAGGAGAGGACAAGGTCATCAAGTCAAGTGGCAGCCTAAAAAAAAGTCATATGGCATAATTAGTTATTAATTTATATCTATATATTATTAAAAGGAGAGAACAAAGTCATCTTCTTAAGCCAAGTGACACCGTAAAAAAAGCCACATGACATAATTAGTTATTGGTTATTATTTTTAATTTACTTTATTAACCAGTAACGTCAATCTATATATTATTAAAAGGAGAGGACAAAGTCATCTCCTTAAGTCAAGTGGCAGCCTAAAAAAAGTCACATGACATAATTAGTTACTAATTAGTTATTGGTTATTATTTTTAATTTAAATATCTATATCTATATCTATATCTATATCTATATCTATATATTATTAAAAGGAGAGGACAAAACCATCTCCTTAAGCCAAGTGACAGCCTAAAAAAAGCCACATGGCATAATTAGTTACTAATTAGTTATTGGTTATTATTTTTAATTTAAATATCTATAAAAAACAAAAATAAAAAATAAAAAACTAGCAACTATATATATATAAAATAACTACCATTCAAATTGGGTGGGAGTAGTTTCAAGTTGGATTTTCAAAATAATTTTAAAATAAAAAATGATATTTAAAAAATAAAAAATTACCAATTCAAATTGGGGAGTAGTTTCAAGTTGGAGTTTTAAAATTATTTTAAAATAAAAAAAACGAAAATAAAGAAATAAATTCAAATTGTGGAGTGGTTTCTTTCTAATATTGTAGTGTGTGTGTGTGTTATATATATAAAGAGAAGTAAATAATTATATGATGCCAAGTGCGGTATAACCATAAAACAACAAGTGTAGATTTTTAGGACACAGTCATCTCCTTAAGCCAAGTGGCAGCCTAAAAAAAGTCACATGGCATAATTAGTTACTAATTAGTTATTGGTTATTATTTTTAAATTTAAA